CCTGTGTGCGCAGTGGGTGGGGGTGTGGGGTAATGGGACAGCATGACAGTCAACTGTCAAGTTATGGCAACTTCCAGTGGCAATTAATTAAAACAACTATTTAAAAAACAATTAATTAAAAACTAAACAAATAAAAGTCTGTTACAAAATAACACACATATAATAATGACACATTCAATGTGTGCACTATTGTAATGCTGGGGTTGGTTAAGATGGAGCTAAATGTTTTTATTTGCAACAATGTGCCATATTTTACAAGCTTGTCACATGTTTTACAGTAAAAGCAGTGGATTTGAAAGTAAATTATTTCCCCCAGAAATGAATCTAGTGGAGTAGGAGTGTACAAAGTATATAATATAGCCTAAATATAAATATCATTAAATGCCCTTAAGTGACACTTGAGTAGATGTAGGCTATGGATGTTTTCCATCAGTATGAAAAGTGATTAAAGAGCAACAGAGGTAAACATGTAATGCTTCTGAGTAATTTGGCAGTACAGTTTGGATGTTTTTGGTTTTGGAAACAGATCATGGACTCATACAACAGGATGACAGCAGCTTAATGTAATCAGTCTGCACCAGCCTGTTCACAGTGAAGACCTGAGCCATGCTTGGTGTGCATATATACACTACACAACTGATATTTTGTCAGTGGTCGAATTTCTTAAGTCAGGAATAAATTAGAGAGAAGCAGCAGCTCTTGTCACAAAGACAAGACTGAAGAGACTGCAATTTATCAGGTAGGCTGGGTCAAATTAACATACCTGTAACACTTAAGAATACAGTACATTGCTGACTGCAACACAAGTATTTGCACAAAACACAACAGTAATTTCACAACTCAGTGGTTTCATCATCTGTCACTAAGTTAACAACCAGAGTACCATGGATAGCTTGGATCGCATTGGTGAAAGTCACCAATGATCTTCTCCTAGCCTCGGACAAAGGACTTGTCTCCATACTTGTCCTCTTAGATCCCAGTGCTGCTTTTGACACCATTGATCACAGCATCTTACTGCAGAGACTTGAACATGTTATTGGGATTAAAGGAACTGCGCTAAGTTGGTTCAAATCTTATTTATCAGAAAGATTTCAATTTGTTCATGTCAATGACAAATGTTCCACACAAACTGACGTTAGTCACAGCGTTCCACAGGGCTCTGTGTTAGATCCAATTCTCTTCACTTTATACATGCTCCCTTTAGG